TCAGCAGCAGCTGATTACAATGAACTTGAATTTAAATAATATAATTATTAATGCTGAAGTTGAGTCTTATTCTGAGAAATTCAATGATAATATAGAGTAAGATTCTATTTTTATTGAAAATATACTATCTTTATCTACTGTAAATAATCTATCTGATACTTTGAAAACAATTCTGAAGAAGAATAATTAAAATTGATGAATATACTGTAGCTTTTAGACTGGCCGCTGAGACCATGAATTTCACATTTAATTTCATTTGGTCTGGTCTCATACATTTCTTGGTGTGAATCCCGCTGGGACTAGTTATTAAAAAAACATGCAAAGTGACTATATATAAGATCTTAAAATGAAACCATGACTTGAAAAAAATGAGAAAGTGATTTCATTTGGTCTCATTTAGTCTCATTCTTGGCATAAAGTTACTATTTTTAGACATTTTAAGGTTTTTTTTAGACTATTTTTAATTTTTTAAAAAGTAACACTTTTTGATAATACTCAAATGAGATTTAAAGTCATTTAAAGCAATAAAAATAATTTAAATTGAGAAGTGAAAATCATGGTCTCATTTGAAAAATGTGACAAGAGTAGACAGTAAGTCTTACTGAGACAGTATGAGACTACTATCTAATGTTAAAACTGTGTAATGAGATTGGTCAAATTGGTAATAAGACTATCAAAAAATCTGGTCCTGGTCCCAGACACAGTCACATGATCAGTCTAGTAGCTTTACTTACTTCATCTTCATTTAATATATAATATTACATTTTCACTGATAAATATATTAATAATTGAACTTCTGTATTGTTCTGTTAACTTATGAGCTAATTAAATATCAAGATTTAAAATAAACATGACTAACATCTGATAAATTTTATTTTTGAGATATTATTTTCTACATTAACTAATTTATATTTATAACTGATACTTGCAAAGAATGTCTGCATAGAATCTTCAATACATTCATTTATACAGATTACTTATTTATTAGAGTTCTACTTGAAATCTTCTTCATAAAGCAGAGCAGTATAAATAAAATAAGAATCTAAATTATCAGAGCACTGCTTTCTGATGAAGAAGAAGATGATCTCTTTGACAGTAACTGATATGACTGCATTGATGAGAATGCACTGAGATTCTTGAGCTTGTGTTTGAAGATACTATATTCATTCTTGTGTACAATAATCTGACAGTGAGAACAAGAATTCTCAGACTTGGTTATCTGAGCTCTCTTCTTCTCAGAGTACACTCAACATTTCTCATTGTTCTCTTAACAGGCAGTACACCTGTTCTCTTTCAGCAGCTGCTCACTCAGCTCTGTCTTCATTATTCAGTCAATATGGCCTCACATAGACTAGCCGCCGGGACCATGAATTTCACATTTGATCTCATTTGGTCTGATTTCATACATTTCTTAGCGTGAATCCCGCTGGGACTGGCTATCAAAAAAACATGTAAAGTGACTATATATCAGATCTTAAAATGGAGCCATGACTTGAAAAAACTGAGAAAGTGGTCTCATTTGATCTCATTTAGTCTCATTCTTGACATAAAGTGACTATTTTTAGACATTTTAAGGTTTTTTTTAGACTATTTTTAATTTTTTAAAAAGTAACACTTTTTGGTAACACTCAAATGAGATTTAAAGTCATTTAAAGCAATAAAAATAATTTAAATTGAGAAGTGAAAATCATGATCTCATTTGAAAAATGTGACAAGAGTAGACAGTAAGTCTCACTGAGACAGTATAAGACTACTATCTAATGTTAAAATCATGTAATGGGATCAGTTGAATTGGTAATGAGACTATCAAAAAATCTGGTCCTGGTCCCAGACACAGTCATATGATCAGTCTAGCCTCACATTCTCTGCTTCTGCAGAGAGAAGTAGACTGACCGTGTGACTGTGTCTGGGACCAGGACCAGATTTTTTGATAGTCTCATTACCAATTCAACCGATCCCATTACACAGTTTTAACATTCAATAGTAGTCTCATACTGTCTCAGTGGGACTTACTGTCTACTCTTGTCACATTTTCCAAATGAGATCATGATTTTCACTTCTCAATTTAAATTATTTTTATTGCTTTAAATGACTTTAAATCTCATTTAAGTGTTACCAAAAAGCGTTACTTTTTAAAAAATTAAAAATAGTCTAAAAAAAACCTTAAAATGTCTAAAAATAGTAACTTTATGCCAAGAATGGAACTAAATGGGACCAAATGGGATCACTTTCTCATTTTTTTCAAGTCATGGTTTCATTTTAAGATCTCATATATAGTCACTTTGCATGTTTTTTTAATGACTAGTCCCAGTGGGATTCATGCCAAGAAATGTATGAGACCAGACCAAATGAGACTAAATGTGAAATTCATGGTCCCGGCGGCCAGTCTAGAGAGAAGCACTGGAACTCCTTATAGAAGATTAATCATCATTTCTCTGATTCCTGGGGCTGATAGAATGATGAGCTCTTGCTCATCATTCAATTTCAATCCTGTCTTGGCTGGCTTGTCAGCTGTGTCTGCTCTCAACAGACACAGCTGGCGGACAGAGTGTTGAGAGAGAGGGGGATATCATATGATATTGTTGACAGTGGTGGCGGCAGTGAGGGGGAGGGAGTGCTCAATATGAGGAACAGCTGAAAGGGTGGGGGAGGTGGGCTCATCAGTGCAGGGGGCGGGAGGGGCAGAGGGAGCCATAATGGCTCTGAGAAGAGGGAGGGAAAGCTAATGTAACATGTCAGTGATTGATTCTTTCTCTATCACATATATCTCATTCATATTCATATTGCTTACTTAGTTGATTTCAACAGAACTTCTTCCTCTGCAAAGAACAGAGAAGAGAAGAAGCCTGAGAAAGAGAAATACTGAGCCTAAGAAATGAGATAAATAAAGATTAATTCATGGAAGAAAGTGAAAATCTAGAAGATATCTTCAGTGATGATGATTGAGAGAATGATACATTATTTCTATAAGCTACAATGTTGATGATTGCTCACTATGTTCTGTCAAGAATTTCTAGAAGATGATATGAATGCAAATTCATTGAGCCAAAACTCACTTTCAGCAAATTCAACTTTGAAATCAAACTAGCCAACTCAATCTTGAGTCAGTCAGTCTCAGATATAATGATTGACAGGTGTAGCAGTATAACTATCAAAATGTGTGCTTTACAGAGAAAATATCCCAGATAATTGACTTTCTGACAATGCAAGGCTCAAGTTGTAGAGATAAGAGAAGAAACAAGAAGAAGTAGAAATAACAAAGAGAAGTAATGTCTGAGCATAAATAATCAATTAAGAAGGGTTTTCAGCTTTCTCACTTATCATGGCATAAATCCCCTGTTTCAATTGTCTTGAGTTAGGAAAAATCTGTTTAGAACTTCTTCATCATCTCTTCTGACTCTGTGAGCTTTGCAACAGTGAGATCTTGAGTGACTATTTCAATACTTCTCTCTCTGCTCATGTATCACATTATATACAAACTCCACTGCTTCTTCAACAGATTCAACATTCTTGTTCTCATAAATAACTTCTGTAATTATGAGCTCTTCTGCTTTACTGAGTACTTTTGCTATATTCAAGTGAGAATCAACTTTCTCTGTATATACTTTATTGATGTGATGATAGAAGCAGCATACTACTGAGGACAATCTTTCACTATTGAGATTTCAATATTGTGAAACTGCTACTTATAAAATCCCAAACTCACTCATTTCTGAAACCTTGAATCTCAGCTCTTTTCACTCACTTGATTCAACTTTTTCAATCTCTGAAAAGCTTTCAGTGACTTTGACAACAGCCAAATCACCAGCTTGTGTGATGTTGAGAAGCTCATGGCTGCTATTTTCATTTTTCACAACAACTTGAGCAAAGTTACTGTATATATTTATATGAGAAATTCTCTGTTCATGTACTGTGTATCCAGGTTGCATGTATTGTGAAACCTTTCAGAGAGGGATCTGAACTCATCTTCTTCTCATATTTCTGAGAGACAAGATCTGAGCTGCTGTCTGAGTTGTTGTTTGAGCAGTTATTGTTTGAGCTGAAGATGAAACAGTTGTAGTCAATTTCATTGCTCAACTACAGGCTATTAGCAGCTGCTAGGACAAAGTGAGATGAAGACATTACTTATCAATATGAGCATGAGAAATCACTATTTTCTGATATATCTCAATAATACTGGGCTCATTGTAATTGACACCTTGTGTGAATCTTCACTTAACATGTCAGATATTGTTTGTAACTTGTTATATCAGTCATGATTATATTCATACAAATAAGACACTCTGTAGTTGCACATGGAGTTCAGGTCTCTGAATATCTCAATTCAGTAAATACACTATTAACTTTAGCTCTTATTTCTTGAAACACTTCTGTATTTTGAATGTTGATATGTAGATGAAAATATGTCTTACTAATAGTTGATTTATTTATATGATATAGCTGTGACAGTTGATCATTTTATGAATTCAGTTCTGAGATTTGAGAGTTCAGCTCAGTGATCTTTGTAGTAACTTTCTAATATATTGATGTAAGTTACTCAGTTGATGCTTCTTTAACAATTTCATTTCACAACTTCATTATAAGTGAGATAAGCTGATGCCAAAGTGGCACTCAGTACATTCTGAGATCTTCTGAGTATGTATATCTTTTCACTGATGATAACTCAGCTCATTCTTCAGAAAGATGTAGAAACTTGTATAGTGCTTGAAGTTTTACAGACTCAGAGAAGCTTCATGAATTGAAAAACAGCTGAATTCAGATTTTATCTGTGAATCAACAGTTTTTTTCAATGATATTATATCTCACAATTTTTTCATTAATTTTACAGAGAGTGCTAAGCATATTAACAATCTCTCATGAAATATCAGCATAATTTGTTGTTCTGATTGCATCAGTAATACTGCTTTGATAACTGATTTGACATGCTTCATATAGCATTATTATATACTGTGTTGCTGCAATATGACAATGCTGATGATATCTATTCAAGAGTTTCTCTATCACTGAAACATCGGCTGGATCCCACTGAAGGCCTGCAAGGGCCTGCCTTGTTCAAGTGATAGCATAAGTTAATTCTAACAGAGTTAGTGTAAAAGACTTGTTCTGTTTTATAGCTTCTGATGCTTACTCTCAAGAGCATTCTTTTCTAATTGTTTATTCTTCTCAGAGTGAAACTTGTTAAGGTTTATTATCACTGCAGTGCATGTAATCACCTTTCTGTATATTTCTGCCCTCATCTGAGAAGCTGTGATGATGAGCACAGTGTGCACATTTTCAGAAGCCTGGTCAACAATTGCTTTGATAAGCTGAAGATGATTCTTGATGCTAAGTGTTAAAGTGCACATTTCATTCATAGCCTCATCTTCATCAATAGCAACATTATCATCATCATCATCATCATCATTATCATCATCATCATTTTGATGATACACAGAGGCAGGGTCATTATCGAATTCATCATGAGGCGGAAAAAGATGTGTCATGAAGAAGGTGAAAGCAGAAGGAGAAGAAGAGAGAGCAGAGAAAGTGGAATTAGCAGCACCAGCACCGGGGTCAGATGGGATGATGAAAGTGATATCAGCCATTGTTTGAAAAAATCAAGTTTTGTTTGAAAAGTGTAAAAGTGTAAGATGAATATGCAGTGTATTTAATAAAGATGATAGATAGTTTGTGAGATACAGTCTAGATTTTATATTCTTTCAGAGATCATATCTTTCTTTTTCACAGTCACAGTCATGCTTGCATTTCTATCAGTCATAGTCTGAGTCACACTTATTAAGATGATAACTGTGACCTATTTTCTTCTTTAAATGGCCAGCTAGAGAATCAAGATGAGTATAATTCATTTCACAGATGATAAAAATATTTTCAATCTGATTTTTTTCAAATATTTTACAAGAATGCTGACAATCACTCTGCTCTTTTTTCTCTTATATTTTCACATAATTGCATTGAAGATAAAGTATACTCTCTCTATGAACTGTGATACATTCAAGAAAAGTCTAAACTAACAGATCACAGAATCAGTTAAACAATTTCTGTTCAGATAACTGAGCCAGTCACTCATCAAGTGACTGTTGACACTGAAGGGCAATACCTCTTTGAACCAGGGCATATCAATGCCAATGTTGAGAATAAGATTGTTTTTGAGTTTCAGGCTTTGAATCATATCTTAACTTAATCAAGCTTGGCCTGTTCATGCACATCATTGCAGTAACTGAACTCAGGTTTCAAGCAGTTTAACTCAACTGACTGTGAAGATCTTGTACTGTTCATAACTGTCAATACTCTTGAGTCTCAGTGATTCTTCTATCATCAAAATGTATCTTTCTCTCACTGCCATGCAGGAATGATACTTGCAGTCAATCTGAAGAAACATATGAACAAATTTCTAGCAAATGTGAGGAGAGAAAGCACAGTTGGTATTTCAGATGTGGCTAAAAGAAAACACAACCACCCAGTGATGTCGCGGGTGTTCGCGCCATCAGCTGGCTGGTATCTAAATTCAACAGGGGTGTTTTCAACCAGCATGTTTCCAACCAGCGTGTTTCCAACCGGCGTGTTTTCAACAACTCTAACTCTATGGCACTCAACAGGGACAGGAGCATCTGGGAGATCAGTCCCTTTGCCTTCACAGCCACCACCCGAGGCTTTTACATCATCTGAAAACAATGAGTCATGAGCAGTCTTTCTATTAGCTGTGCTCATGCTTCTTCTGACTAAGCTGAATCATTTATAATTTATAAAGAGTGAGTGAATTGAGCTTTCTGATTATTATAAAGTTTTGTGTATAAGAAGATGTGATTAATCTTGAAAGGTTCTTCTTTGTCACTGTTGTTCTGCTAGTCAATAATATTATATATATACTGGACAAGAAAAGTATGACAGCATGAGTTCTTCATGCACTAAATAAAGAACAATGAAGCTTAATCAATCCTAGTTAGCAGTATATACTCTGTTAAATGAAAGCTCATACTGCAATTCAAAGTTCATTACTGTACTTCAAGTTTGAACATAAAAGAATCAACTTGATAAGAATATATAGTGAGACATCTTTGTATATAGCTTCACTTCTGTTTTCATTGAACAAAGACTTATATAAGATTGCTCTGCTTCAGCTCTGAATCAATAATTCACAGTGTATCAGCAATTATCAGAAATCTCAAAAGCTTATCATAAGTGTAAAAGACAAGGTACAGATCATAAGAAGATAAAGACAGCAAATATTTATTAACTATATATTAGTCAGTATAAATAAATATTGATGAATCAGTTTATGTCACTTCTATATGCTTCTGTGCTATATCTCAAACTTCATTGAATTATTCTGTGAATGAACCCCTTGTGGCACATCTTCAGCGGCAGATTGAGAATCAAAAAGTCATTATAGAAGCTCAGTCAGCTACAGTGTCAAAATGTATTGAGAAACTAAGTAAAGTCTTAGAGAAGAGACAATAGAATTGAAAAGTGATTGATAATTTGAAGCAACATCTATCTTGTGTACATGTATTTACATTTCTTCTCCTTCTCATTCAATCTCCTCTCATATGTATCACACTGGACTTGGAAGAGTGCTCTGTGATTAGAAGTATCAAAGGCCTCATCTAGGCCTTGTTCATCTATATATCATTGAGTAGTATTGAGAGATCTGTTTATCAACAACACAGTGTCATCAGACTGTAGTGTCATGGTAATCTTCTTCTGAAGATGCTGAACAGAGAATTGAATAGACTGGCAGTAATGTTAACATTTCACACATATATCATCCTCACTTAGATAGAGACTCAGATTGATGTCATTCTTGTAAAATTCGTGGTGAGCTGGTCAGAGTGCTAATAATGCTCTGATAATAGGCTGAGCTGATTCATAGCATCTAATAGTCTCAACACAGAGAAAGAAGCCATTTTGAAACTCTGGAATTGAGTTCAATTTAAAGAAGAGGCTTGAAGCAAGAAGAGTCAAAAGAGTCTCTTTCATCTTATGTGCTTCTGATGAATTCTTTTGAATAGATTGAGAGATGTTCTTTATTGCACTGATATCAACAATCAACAGCTGTGCATCTGTGAAGAAGTGATTGAAGCAGAAGTAGTTCTTGCAGGTTTGATCATCAAGCTTACTCTGAAGTTCATTCCAGGTCTTCTCACCATCAAATGAAGATATGTAGAAGTGATAAATGCAAGGAAGCCATTCATCTAGAAGAATGTTGTATGAATCTGATGTTTTCAGAATTCTTGAGACAGTTCCTGTACTCAGAGAGATTACAACATGCAGTTTTGACATCTGCAGTCACAGGTACTGCACTTCTGACAGCTCTAAGTGAATTGGGTTATTGTGTCACTGTTTCATATCACTGTCCTGAAAACTACCAACAGAGAGAATATTGATGGATGGAAACAGCCTGTTCAGGGGTCAGAAAAAGAAATTAAAATTTGAGACTTGAAATCTACACAGAAGCAGCTGAGATAGCTCTTATACTGCAAAATATTAGCAGAGTAAGATGAATATTGACAGATCAGAACTTCAGGACTCATGCTTGCCAGACAAATGACTCATCATTAACCCTAGTTCAGAGACAATCATACACTGTGAAGTCAGTGAATGGAAAGATGAAAGTATAGATGAACACACATATCACAGTCATTGTACAAGAGTGTCTTGCCATTATAGTTGATAAAAAGGAAGAGAGTCTCATCTGTAACAGAGATAGATGTCACAGCAACTCTTCAGCCTGCAATCATGATTTGAGAGGTGTCAAACATATGTAATGTTGCTCTGTAGTGCTGTATAAAGATATGCTTCAAGACTCTGCTGTCATACATGCCATCTGCTGTTCAGATTTTGACCAGGCACTGCAGCTTGAACACACAATCTCTCTACTGTTTCTCAAAAAACTCTTTCATCAATTGTTGAAAGCACTTGCTGCACTTTTCAGCATTATTCTGATATATATCTATATCAAGTGAAATGTCTCCACCTGGGAGATGTTAGCTCTGAATTCATGGAAGAGATTTGCTCTTCAAGAGAGATTGAAAATATATGAATCTGAGCTTGTTTCAATGAAATAGTCAATGAGGTTTCATAACTGTAGATTGCATGAAAGCCTCTTTTGCATGAAAACTAGCAATCTGGTGAGAATAATGCTCAACAGTCTCTCATCATCAATGCTGAGAAGATGAGCAGCAAAAGTAAATGACTTAATTCTTATCTTCAATACTGTGAGTGTGTTGTACAAAGAACATTTAGTTACAACATACTCACTCTCTGCATTAGCACAGCCTTCATTGAATCACTTCATGCAGCTATTACAAAGAGCATGATCACATGAAAGATGATATTCCGCGCAGCAGACTACACAGATAAGATAAATAGAGTTGAGTCTCAATAAAGCTAGATGCTTTCTCTGCTGATTTAGATTGTATCTGTGAATATGTGAAGAAGAGTCTTCTTTCATGCTCATGAATTCAAATAGTCTTTGTATCTGATTATCAACATTCTGATACATCAACTTCACAAGGGTATAATTATCTAACACTTGCTCATATGCACTATAGCAGGCCTTTGAATACAAAGTCTGAAACATGGTCTGAGATGAGAATTCTAAGTTTGAGTAAGCTAAGATCAAGAATAATCAGGGCTCAGAAGACATATCATGCATTAGAGAAGATTATACATTCATCAGAATCACTGATACAGTGTATGACACCAGGTCTTTATAAGGCATCTGCTTATTGATCCCCTGACTCAGAACTGTCAATAGATGAGGCATCAGTGAGTCACTGACAGGGTTTAGCTGTCTTGATGAATGTATGAAGTCAAATGATGTGAATATATTAGCTGTGACATATTGCAGTGCATCTTCATAGAAGATATTCATGTGTGTTATAGAAAAGAGAACTTGATGAATTTTCCACGCTGATCAGACAAGATTGAGCTTTCTCATGATATCTGTATATAGATCTAGATAGCAAGCATCTGGAGATAGCTCATCTGGCGGGTGTCATGATATGCTAATATTCATGAAGATGGAAAGGAAGAGCAGGTCATTGATAATATTCAAAAGAAAAAATTCCTCATTCAACAGTGTCTGCATGATGCTGTCATTATTCTTCTCAGTGATAATGATGATGCAGGGGTGAATGATGTCTGACAAGTTGAATGCAGATTCAATGATTGCTCATTTCATCAGAAGAGATTGAACAGCTTTCAGGTCTTCAATATCATCTGCAAAGATACAGATAACATCACAGAAGAGAAAGAGAAGTTGGACAAGAATGAGATGAAAGAAGTCAAATGAGAAGTCAGGCCACTGAACTGGTACACTCTCATAGTGATGGCATAACTGAGAGCTGCTTGATATATGTATCATCATACAGCACATTGAATTGCAGTCTGCAAAAATTCTGAAATAGATGAACTGAATAGAAATATTATCTGCTTATAAATTTACAGCATGCTGCTGCTGAAAGTGACTTCTATGATAATTAATTCAGCAAAGTTGTCACAATGCATCATTCTTGATCTTCTCACTCAAGAGAAATATTAACTGAGGAAATTGTTTCAAAGACTGGTTCATCTCAGCCATAAC